CACTGTGGAAGAGGACCAACCAGAAGGAGGTTCTGCAGGAGTGGACCTGCTTTCATCACTGCTTGTAAAAGCTTTCCCTTTTCTGGCAATGGCCGGTCAATCACTATCGATACTGGTAACTCCAGTTCAGTTTCTGCCGGTGGCAATTGGAGTGGTGATGAAACAATGCTTTCTTCACAATCTGATGAAGAAAAACCATAAGTGGAGTCAATTCCTATTCTGGGATGATCATCTTCAGTGCTCGAAATCCCAGAATGTGGAGCCGATTGTTGTTGTTGAAGCAAAAGCTTCTTAAGCAACATATCATCCCTTTCTTTCATGACTCTATTCAGCATATCTTTCAGTTGGGCTATTTCACAATCTCTACCTTTAATCTCTTCTTGCGCCTTTAGTCTTGTATCTTCCAGTTCCATAGCCAGCAGCAGTAGAGATTGCCTCATCTCATCCATACTCTGTTTGTTTCAGCAAAAAAGTGATAAAAAATACAATGCTACAAAGAGAAGAAGTAAGAGAATATCAAGTCATCTAACCTTCCAATTAAGATGAAAACTTATTTGATTATCCAAGCCTCCTCTCTTCAATAAGAAAGATAGCTCATTTGGAGTGAGTGAGAGACAGGTCTATGCACCTTAATAAGGGTTGGGCGGTGGAGCATTAGACCAAAGCAGAAATGGACAAGAGCCGAAAAATCCTACGGTGTAATAAGAGATGGACTAACTGAAGAAGTGAGAAACACGGGACGGCTGCGTGGTCTAGTCAGGGAATCACAAGTCAGCGGCAAATGCAAGAGTAAAGATTGGTTTGATTTACAGCTGTGACTTGCATTATAATACAAATCTCTGCTAATTAGTCATCGTTAATTTGTAGCTACTAAGGTTAATTAGTTCTTCAATTTTTATGTCATACTTAAGCATCCCTTCTCTTTTATCCAAACATGCTTAATGAAAACATAAAATCAATTATACTTGTCTTACTGCTCATTTGATAGTGATTTTAAGTAGTTATAAGCCGTGAGTTCTAGTGCCTTAAAATTCAACCTTAGATATTCATAATTAATTCTCCTGGGAGCACGTTTGCTATGCACTATTCTATTCAATAAAGCTTAGAGAGTGTTTGGAAGACATTTTTATGTAAAAATGCATTTTTGAATAGTAAATTGATGGGAAATGTATGGTTGAAAATAATGAAAAGTTTTTTATTTATGTATAATATTATTTTAATAAAGAATGCGTGGTTGAAAAGAAGAGGAAGAAAAATGCATTTTGAAAAAAAATGAATACCAAACGGGGCCTTAATTAATAAAATAGATAACTTTTTAATATTTTTCTTCATTCTAGAGTTATGTTTTAGTAAACATGACATTGGTTAAATTAATCACTTTTTTTTTTTTTTTTTTAGAAACAATAAAGCAAAGCAAAGTTGGCTTGGCCTATTGGCTTTAATAGCCTTTTAAGGTTCTTCCAATTGGCTTAGGAATTTTAGGGGTAAACGTCTCCCTCCAAATTTTCCTTGAGACTCTAAATCTTAATTATTTAACAATAAATAAAAAATAGTTGCTCTGAAAAATTACGGAGGTTGTCCCCCTATACTTTGAAAAATTAATTATTTGAGTCAAGTAAAATTTTGTAACATTTATGATGTGGAAAATCAAATCTCTAAAAATGGAAGTACCTATTTTGTAAGGGATATTTCAAAAGAAATGCATAAACAAATAGTGCTCTGGAGTGCATTCTCAAGTCGCTCTTCTGTGATATGGGCTTAATTAACGCGCACATCTAATAGCAGCTATAACTTTCGAGAAAGTAGTTACATCTCCCTACATCAATGTGAATTACCATCTATCAATTAATAGAGATCGTAATTACTTTAGACAGTACTGTGACTCCTAGTTCATTATTCATGTCTTAAAACGCATCACAATTCCGTTGGAATCAAGGAGCTCACTATTACCTAAAATGTTGATGATCTTTACTAATGGTAGATAACATTACCCCATCAGTTTAGATCTTCACCGTTTCATCTTTCATGCAAGTGCCTTATTTAATGAAAAGACATCATCATTTTATTTTATTTTCTTTCAGTCGAAAATAAGAAAGCAAGCCCCACGAACTAAATGCCCATTTAATGTTAATTTTACTTCTCAGTTTAATGGAAGATTAATTTGGACTGTTTCTGGCCTCGAGATGCCTCTTTCTAGATGTTGCTTTATTAATGCTTAATCGTGAGATGATTTATTTAACAGCCTGCCAAAAAATTTGAAGAGGACTACATTGACTTGCATAACAAAAGTAATCAAATCACACGAAATGTGAACTAGGCAGGATTCTTTTACTTTTGTATGGAAATTCAAGACATATTTCTCCTTTCTTTACTTAAAAAGTTGGTTTCATACAGCTATGTTTACTTAGATTTTTCTGCTATATATTTTTATACGTATTCGATATAAGAATTATATTGTTTTTTAAGGAAAGAGAAAAATCTTGTCTTCATTTTGTCTTGATAATGTTTGTACACGTCCTTGTGGGTGTCCACTTTAATAATGGAATTGAATAACGTGAATGGAAATACATAGAAATGGGCTCCGGATAGCGACAGACCTAGGACGGAAGTCCAGTGGGGACGAAACAAAAAATCTTGAGAAAAAAATCTGAAAAACCTCAAAAAACTTTAAGAAAGACTGAAAATCTAAAAATCAAGTGGGGGTGGTCGATTCCGCTAGGCCTCTATGTCCACCCTTGGCTTCAGAAAATTAAAGAAAAATTAGTGAATGAATTGACTTTGCTCAAGTTATAGCCAATGGAACCACCTCCCCACAAACCCCAATCAAAAATAAAAATGAAAGAATCGACATTTTTCAACTAACATAGATTTGTCATTGACAAAGTTAAGTATCTGAATTTATTACATCATTAACCGAACAAACTAAAAAGTATTAAAGACATAAGAAGAAATAAAATTCATATTAATATTGAGTTGGAATTTTTCATAAAAATGTACCAAATCATTCAAATATACTTGATTTGAAAAGAAATTGTTTATGTTGAATGACCACTTAAGGACTTGGACAAAGCATGTACCATGCGCACTACAATATGTTGTCTCAACTTTCAAATTATTTCTTCTTCCTCCCTTTTCTTTCCAGAGTTTTTGTTCACAATGGCATATCAATTTTGTTGAATTGTTCCATTTAATAGGGCTTCTGAATCTAAATGAAACTCTAAATATTATCTATTTTTCTATCTAGATCAGCTTGACGGAGTCTCTATTAGCTTGCATCAAAGATAATTATTTTAAACATCATTTATTTTTTGCTTATGTGACCCATTTGTAATCCACAAGTGCACCGAGATACTCAAATCGATATAGTTGGCTCACTTTTCAATCCTTAGATACTCATTGGCGTGGCCACATGGTGTCATGTGGATCCATTGACCACACAAACATTTGGAATTTCTGTTCTCTTTTTGATTTTTTCTTCAAAGTTGAATTTTTCATTCTTTACCTCTTTTGAGCACTATAAACAGCTCTTTAAATAAATGTCCAAATTTGAAATCATTAATTAATTTCTCATTCCTCCTTAATATCTAGAGTTTGTCAATTCCATCAAAACTAACGTTTATCACTGCTGAACTTGTCCTGCAACATCAAAAAATATTTAGTCATCACACTACCTCTTTTCGCCTCTCTTAAAACTCAACCTCTTGTTAGTGCTATTTCCAAAAAATAAAAGAATAAATAAAAAATTACAACTTACTTTTTGACCCCACAATAAAAAATATTTCAGAAAATATTCAATGTAATCTTGAATGCAGATCTTTACTGGCCTTTCACCTTTTTCTTAAGCGGTGAACTTATCCTACAAGCGAAGTCCAATTTGGTCTTTGTTTAACCATTAAACTGTTTTAATAGTAACATATAAAGGTTCTGTATCTGTAATTAAATCACCTTGCCCACATCTCTAATTAAATAAGACCTTTTAATGACAACTTTTTACTTTAAATCTTAGTTGAAAAAAGCCGAGACCCCAGAGTGGAGTGTAGTATATTGAAGTAAAGTGTCATATCATTGCTTAACAGGAATCTAGTAGATCAATGTAATTTACAGCTTGGAAGAAAAGAAAATGTCAAATTCTGATGATAAATCCTTGCATGTGAATGATCTTAACAATTGACTGCTTCCGCGCCTAATATGCTCAAAGTAAGTCACGTAGTGACTACTATTTTGGCATCTTGACAAACACAAATCAAGTCATCCATCAGGGCCACTGAGGATTAACAATAAAAGTAGATTCTATCCAACTACTAGTACAAGAAACAGGTATGATCTAGAATGCACCTGTTTGCATATGAAATACAATTTATATATAAAAGGTGTCGAGCCTGATGGCCCGTCTTGGCTTGGACCATGTTGGCCCTCGCATTTTTACACACGGACCATCTTCGTTGCTCCCTATTTGGGGTTGTTTGATAAAGCCATTTCGGCCTCAGTTGCCTCGGCTTCATCCCTAAACTTCTTATAGATATCTCCTTTGTAGAATTCTCGGGTTCTGGCCACCAATATCAGAGAAGTGAGAGCTCCAAAGAAAGTGATACTTGCCAAAATAATGAAGGCCAGCCGATAACATTGAGTGCCAATGCAAGTCAATTCCTTGACTGATGATCTTGTCATGCCCTTCTTGGCCAAGTCTTTTAGTGCCTCTCTGTCATAAAGGGGCCCTGTAACTTTAACATTCAGTATGTAGGAGCCAAGTGGACTAGCCAATTGCCCACAATTAAACAATGTAGAGTAGTATTTCAGGCCAAAAAGCTCAGAAATAATTGCAAAGATCAAAGGCAATTGTGCACCAAATGAGAATCCGATAATTACAGATGAAACGTAGACTGAACCAGGGAATGGAAATGCAATGAGGAGAAGGCCGATGCACGACAAGAAAAGGACTAGTGTCATCATAAGAGGCCGCGGGAATTTGTACTTGGCAAGAAGACTTTCAGAGACAAATCCCGAGAAAATTCTCCCAAAGTAATTCCATATGCTAAGAAGTGACACAAATGATTTTATGGTTTTTGTTGGATATCCTAACGACTCTCCAATCTGTCCCAAGTTGTCCACAGCAGTTAAGCTTGATCCCAGTCCACAAAATGTTGCTAAAAATAGAATGAGCATATCTGTGCTAAGAAGTGCTTGTAAAATAGTGTAATCTTCTCCTCTTTCTGGTTTATTGAAAATGTTCTTGAAACATGACGGCGTTTCTGATTTCTCTTCTAGCTTTGCAGTTGCAGGTTGAGGCGTGGATATTGTTGGATTTTCTATGGTTATTTTAGGAGGATTGTTTGGCAATTTCTTTCGGTTCCAAGAAAGTGCTTCTTCTCTAATGGCAATAAATAGAGGGACAAAGAGGAAGACACAAACTACAGTAGCACTTCCAGCATATGCTGCCTGTGAGAAAGTCACCAGTTTCTGAAGTATGGTCATAACCATGATAAACAAAGCTAGGACAATTGATACATACAGGAATTGATAAAAGATTTTCAGCTCATTTGGTTGCTTAACAACCTTCATTGCGCGAATTGTATAGACAAAAACCACAGATAATGCTGCTGGAAGCCAGGCTATAAGAAGAATAAGAGCCTTAGAATCATTTCCATAGACAGCCAAATAGATTTGGGTCAAAATGGCACCACTTAATCCAGTAAAACCCTTTAACAGACCTAACATAACTCCCCGGTTTTCGGGAAAATTTCTAACAGAAGTAACAAGAGCACCTGTATTGGCGAAATTCTGAGAATTGGCTCCAAGGCATATGTAAATGCACATCTGCCAAACTTTAGGCTTGGCAATTTTGCCAGTTACAGCAAGCCATATCATAAAGTAGCCTGCAAAATTCATGGCTGAGCCAATTAATAGAACAAACCATGTTGGAGTTACTTCAGCAATTAGTCCTGATAAGACTCCAACATTTGCACCTAGATCCTTGAAGAAGCCTAGGAGATTGAGTGTGGTTTGATCATATCCAAGAGAGGCCTTTATCTCCTTGGAGTAAACTCCAAAAAGATATGTTGCTCCAGCGCCAGCCATGATAAGGAAAGAGGCAAAAAGAGAGAACCACCGGCCTCGAACCACATGAACGGAGAAACGGAGCAGTCCACTGGCTCCACCAGTGCTGGTGATTGGTGATGATGCTCCACCCATCTTTGCTGTTTTGTTTACAGAAATTGATGACAAATGAGATGAGAAAATTTATTTATATAGTGGCTTAACATCTTTGCTGTCTTGATTACAGATATTGGTTTGAAGAAACATTTTCACTGTTCCCCATTCATGGTAGCAATTATTTGTGTTTATCTGAATAAACAAATGATAAGCTACAATACCAATGCTCACCACTTGCTCGGACAAAAGTGAATTTTTTTTTTAATGACAGAATTAAACAATATTATTTTCCAATCATATAGGGAAATTTATAAAATACACCCTTTATTTATAGTGTATCTATAATTTGCATGCCATATTTTACAAATTTATATTTTG